AAAAAAAAACGAATTGTACAGGTAATCGTCACATTTCCACCAGAGGTAGTAATTCACAGCGTGGGCTTATTTTTCAAGAGCTTGAATATGAAATGTTTTAACATAAAAACAAAATAAGTATAGGTCTTTTGTCTTGAAACATCCTCTTTGCATCCAATTGAAGTTAATGTCGTTAATGCTCTTTCCTTGTGAGTGAGGGCTCTCCCTCCTTACCCTGCCTGCCATCAGGCCCCGGCTCCAGGTCCTATGTCCTCAGGAGACGTCCAGACACTGCCTCGCATCCTTGGTTTTCTGCACGACTCCCCGAGTATTCCTTGCAGGAAGGTCCCTCCACTTTTACTATCTTGGAATGTCTTAATTTTTCCCTCATTTTTAAAAAAATATTTATTTTTTAGTTTTAGGTGGATATAATATCTTTATTTTATTTTTATGGGGTGCTGAGGATCGAATCCAGTGCCTCATGCGTGCTGGGCGAGCGCTCTACCACTGAGCCCCAGCCTCGCCCTCCCTCACTTCCAGTTAGAGGGTTCTTGCTGCCTCCTTTCTCCTGGGCACTGCCTCATGGCCCCCGGGCCTGTGGTGAGAGCCCTGCTGGCCTTCCCTGTGTGCTCTCACGGATGGTGAGCTGCTTTACTTGTGCTGCCTCCAGGGTTCTTCTTCTGGAAGTCGGGTGGGTGTGCTGAGGGCGTTGTGTGGAGTTTCGCGAGTGTTACGTCTTTGATCAAGTTTGGACTATCTCGGCCATTAGTTCTTCAGTGCTCTCCTGGAGCCTTCCCGTCCGTCTCCTGGGATTCCCACAGTGTGGAGTGGGCACCCTGGTGGTGCCCCACAGCTTCTTAAGTCTTTTTTGTTTCTCAGACTAGATAATTTCCATTGCTCAAATCTGCCTTTGAATCTCTCCAGTGATTTTTTTTTTTGTTGTACTTTTCGACTCAAGTTGCTTTGGTTTCTTTTTCAGTTTCTCTGTTAATAGTTCTACTTTGTTTTGACCTCCACATCTTTTAGTTCTCTGAGCACTTCTAAGATAGTTGTTTTTAAAGTCTTTGTCTAGTAGAGATATGTCAGGTTTTATTCTGGGATGGTATCTTGTTTTTTATTGACTCTGTCGTATAGTTTTTGGTGTTGGAAACAGGACATTTGTTTCATAACGCAGTCACTTTGGAAATCAGAGTCTCTACCTTCCTCAGGGTTGGCTGTTTTTTATTTTTTGCTGTGGGCTTCTCAGGCTTTTTCAGAGCCTGTGCCTTTGTCTGGGCGTGTGGTGATTTTCTGCAGTTGCTTTTGAATGGCCTGGTCATAACTGGCCAACAGAAAGACGAAGAAAAGGCACCACCCTTTAAAACCCCTCGGGAGCCACTGCAGCCAGCGTTCAGGTCAGGGCTTGCAGCATGGTCACGGCCTCCGTGTCTCTGATATTTGGAGGACAAGATCTTCACTGCCCACCCTGGTTGTTGTAAGCTGCAGGGCTGAGACTGGGCCTGGGTAATTCCACGGTGCTAGGAGACGAACTTAGACTGACTGCACCTGCCACCAAGGTCTTCTGTAGACTCTAGAATGCAGACTCACATTCTGCCAGTGCAGGTGTCTGGGTGGTGGGGAGACAGATTCCTGGTGACATGGAATCCTCTGTGGACTCAAGAGCAGGCAGACACTGTTGTCCATAGCCCTGGGGCCAGCAGCAGAGGCTTTTAGCAGCTGTTTCTGTCCTTGCCCCAGGATCCCAGGTGATCCTTTAGATCCAAGGGTTCCCCAGGGCACAGCCTTGGTGGCGGGATGGCTCATGGAGTCCCTGTGCACGTAGCACATGCTGACAGGTATCCTTCTCTGATTGACCCCTGCAGGTTGTTTGGGCCTAAAAGGAAGATGACCTCTGCCATTGCCCGCTGGCACAGCAGTGCCCGTCCCCCAAGTGATGCCCTGGAGCTGGCCTATGCTGACCGACTAGAGGCCGAGATGCAGGAGCTTGCCATCCAGCTACACAAGGCAAGTGGGGGAGAGGGAAGGGGTGTGTGCCAGTGTGGCTTAGCAGTACCTGGAGTTGTACCTCGGCATGGGCAGGGGACGGGGCAAGACCCAGAGTCAGCCAGGGAAACAGCCAGACACACAGGTGGATGTTGCCACACAGGCGGGAGGCTTGGGAGGGACATGAGGAAGGCAAGGAGGTCAGGTGGACACGAGAAGAGCCACTGAGGGTGAGGACCAGAGAACAACAGCTGTGGAGGACGGGGGACCAGGGGAGCAACACCAGCAGCTCAAGGATGGGGACAGTGTCTGGTGGGGCAGACTCCAGGCTCCTGAGGGAAGCCCAGCCCCAGCCCCAGGGACTCTGCTCCCTCTTGCTTTGCTCCCTCCAGCGCAGCCTCTCTCCCTGCAGCGCTGTGAGGAGGTGGAGGCTATGCGAGGCCAGGTGTCCCAGGAGCAGGAGTTGCGGGCTGTGGTGGAGAGCTGCCTCTTGGAGCAGGATGGCGCCCGCAAGAACGTCCACACCCAGCTTCAGGAGACCTGGGCGCTGGCCCAGGGTGCCACCCTTGTCCTGGAGCAGCTACGGTGAGTGGGCTCAGCGCTGTCCTGGGGCAGATGCATTAGTCTGCCAAACTGCAGAGGAACTTGCTTTTGTGGGGACACACTGCCATCACCCCCCACCAATTCTTCAAGCAAGGTTTGGGTTTCAGGCCTGGGTTCCCAGTGCCCCACCCGTTCTGCCTTGGCCCTGGCTCCAGCAGGGTAGACCCAGGCAGCAATAAGGACTGTTTCTCTCCTGCTTCTCAGTGGGGCTTTCCTGGGGTGCTTGCCAGCAGCTGTGGGGACAGAACAGCTCTCCTTACCCTTGGGGGCATGGGCAGAAAGGCTTTTGGGGAGGTTTCTGCCTCACTAGCACTTGGTTTGCATCTGGCAGAGCCTGTCAAGCTGAACTGTCAGCCCGAGTGAGGCAGGCCCAGCCCTACAGTGCGACCACCCTGGGCCCAGGCCACCCATTGGCAGGTAAGGAGACAGTAGCCTCTGGAGGGGCAGAGGGGTAGGAAAGGAATCCCCCAAACTGAGCTTCATCCAGTCTTTTGGTGGCTTTCACGTCAGCACCTTGCCCACCCAGGTCCCGGGAAAGGTTCCCCAGAGAACCGAGCTTGCTTTCTCACCAGTGAGGGTCGATGCCATCCCTGGTGGTGGGAGGTGCAGTCACTACAGTGTTGAGAAGACCCCTTTGTGGCCAACTGTGCTGTTGAAAACCTCTAGTGACTTTTGCACTCCACCTGGGTGGTAAGCTGGGGCCACCTCCCAACCAGTAATTAGAACTTTGGTCAGCAAGTTAGAGGTCATGGGTCTTTCTAGAAAGCCTCATAGACCCCCAACTAGAGGGGTCAGGACAGGCACAGGCCACCCCTGCCTCAGCCTCTGGGGATTGCTGTGTACCAGTAGTTAGTTAAGGAGGGTCTCCTGGTCATTAGAGCTTAGGACAAAGGTAGGGCCCCGGGGAAACACCCCAGAACAGCACAGCCCTCTGTACTGCAGACTCCAAAGGCTGGCATGCATCCCTGCAGGCCATGAGCCTCCCTGAGCTGTCGGGAGCCCTGGAAGACTGTGTCCATGAGATGGGTGAGTCTTCCGAAGGGCAGCAAGGCCTTGCCCCACCTGGGCACCAGATTTTGGTGGGAGGGAGGCAGGGGGAGCCCTTCTCAGGGATAGCAGGTTTGAGTGTTTCCACCCTAAAGTTGGCCTTGTGGCTGGGGCCAATCCCGCTCTGGGGCAGGCCCTGAGCCCAGGCAAGAGAGGCCCAAGATTAATCCATTCTCAGTTCCCCAGTTCCCTTCCTCCCTGCTGCAGAGCACAGACTCTCCTGTCACCTCCTTAGGACAAGCACTGTGCTCAGTGACCCAGAGCCTGGAGAAGCTGCAGGTGCTCAACGGAAAGGAGAAGTGGCGGGAGCCCTAACCAGGAAGGATGGTGAGAATCTGCCTGCCCAGGGCTGTGTCTGTGCCTGGCCACGAGCCTGCAGCAGCAGGACCTGCTCTAGCAACTTTGGTGCAGTGGGAGTTGCGGTCCTCAATCTTCCTCTTCTCTCACCAGGGCCTTTTTGTTTTTCAGAATCTGACGTTGGGTGATCGATCCACCCTGAAGTTGTGTGCCAGGAAGATCAGAGGGCAGTGGGCAGGCCAGGCCCAAGGTGGGGCTGAGGATCAGGCCCCAGGGAGCAATCTGCAGACAGAGGCGGAACTGGGGCTGTGGCCCCTGCCAGGCAGCAAAGTCAGCACTGAGGAAAGGATGAGGGCTTCTCACCCAGAATCTGGTGGTAAGGCCCTGAGCTCATGGGCTGCCATGTCCAGACCAGGCAGGCCCTGGAGAGACAGTATCCCACACAAGTAGGCACCTCACCAAGGTCTGACCTCAAGGTGAGGATCAGGATGCCTAAAAAATGTGCCATTTGTTGGAGAATAAAATTTACATTGGCTGATAAGGGCTCAGTTCTGGTCATGTGTGCAGTACTGGCCTACACACCAGTAGATCAGTGAGGGACAGTCCCTACCAGAATCCTAGCCCCAGTGAACTGGGGCTCTGGGCGAATGTCCCTGCCTGTTCCCATCCCTTGTAGCAAGAGCTTAAGTGGTTCCGTGGAATCCAGCTTACAGCAGACTGCTACGAAAACTAAAGTGTAAACCAGGCACAGTGGTGCACACCTGTAATCTCAGCGACTCAGCAGGGATTCACCGCCAGCCTGAACATCTTAGGACCCTGTCCTAAAGGGCTGGGGATGTGGCTCAGTTGACGCTACATAGCAAAGTGCTTTACCCCCCACCTGGCCAGCCTTAGTGCCCTCGAAGGTGGAAGCTGGCTGCAGCCTTCCTTACCAGGCTGGACGTGGGCTGTGGGGGTTTCCCAGCTGTAGCACTGGAATCTTTCTAGGTGTGGGGCCCTAGAGACTGCCAGTGGTGGCCTTCCTGTCCCATGGTGGCTGTTCTCCTTCAGCACATTAAGCCTATGCTCCAGGTCACTCCCTGGAGCTGCATGCATTGTGCTGAGAATGGAGAAAGGTCGCCTTTCAAAGCAGAGGTCAAAGGAGCTTGAGTGCAGCTGGAGCCACCAGGGTCAGAAAGGGTCTGACACTAAGGTCTTGGCACAACCCACTAGCCAGACTGGTGGCATGCAGAGGTCAGAGGATGGTAGACAGGGGGACCAGGATGCCCCTGTGCCTGGGGAATTAGAAGCCTCTTGGACACAGCCTCCACACTTCCTCTGAGCCCGACAGGAGAGAGGCCAGTCCCAACCCAGATATCTATCCAGAAGCAAGCACCCAGCCGCAAGGAGTGACTGTGTTTTCCATCCTCCCTCGACTCCACACAAGGCAGGGCCCCAAGGCCTCACTGTCCTCAGGAACTCAGCCAATATAATGTGAAGGAGAACCTAACACAGCAAATCCAACAACCACTCCAAAATGATAGATAGCTCTTCTCCAAGCTGTGGGGCTGGCTCTGGGAAAGGATGCAGGAGTGAGGCCCCCTAGATAAGGGCTGCCTCTGCCAGAACACGTCTTCTGGGCGATCCTGAAAATCAGGTGCTAGTCAGGGCCTCTGTGGCCTGTGACGCAACTCCCACAGGAGGGTCTGAGCCTTGGGACAGGGCACAACATCCTGAGCTGAAGAGCCAGCTTAGGCCCCCTTTTAACTGACCAACCTGAAAGGGTAGCTGCCTGCTGGTCCCAGGCTGGTGATACAGCTCAGTTGGTAGAGTGCTTACCTCGCATGCCCAAGGCCCTGGATTCAGTCCCCAGCACCACCAAAAACAAAGTTGGGGAAACCTCCAACTTGGTCTTTCTGAGACCTGCACAAGGCCCAGGACCTGCATGGGCAGGCAGCCATGGAGCCCTAACAGGACGAACCTGTTAGCCCCTAGACTAGGAACAGCAGCCGGTTTTGCCAAAAACATGCAGCGAGCTGTGTCTGTTTGATGAGGCAGGAATGGCCAGCTGCCTTGGAGCAGTGCAGCCCTCTCCCCTCAAGCAGGCTTTGCCACCAATCCTGTGCACCCCACACCTTCTGCCTCATTCCCAGCAGGAAGGGCCCTCCGTACCCACATCCCATGCTCCTCAGCCTCTGAGCCCTTCCAGACCACAGTCCCAGGAGCCCTCAGACTTCATAAGTTGACCAAGTGTGGGGAGTCTCCAAATGTACGTACCTTGAAGTCCTGATGCACCACGCGGATCTGAAGGATCACTGTTGTCTGGCGCAGTAGTGCCATGACCTGGGATTGGGGCTTTTCCGCTGGGATAACAAGCCAGAAGGGTTGAGCTACACTCACCTGTTCCTTTGTAATCCTACCTCTTGCCTCATTTGAGTGGCTTCTTCCTAATAAAAGGATTCAGCAGGTGCTCCTCTCTCTCTTTCCACTTACCGGTCAGAGAAGCCGACACAGGACCCAAAGAGTTATTTCTCTGCCTCTCAGTGATTATTTCCTGCACCTGGAGTGACCTTGAGAGTCTAAGTTGTGGACAATAAGGCCCCGCATAAAAGTCCTCTTCTCCATTTTCCACCTCCCCAAGCAGACACTGCTTCTTCATCCAGTTTTCCCCATCCCACTCCCCAGATTGCCAACAGCAGGCAGCAAGGCGATGGAACGCAGCCCTGAGAGGGAGACCCATCCTGTGACTCGGAACCCCTTTCCCCACCCTGCGAACCACGGCCAACCCCGAGGCGGGCAGGGCGCAGCCCCACCTCCAGGCCGGGAGGTGCACTTCGGGCCCTCGGTCAGGTGCGAGCTCAGATTCGGTGAAGCGCCCGCGGCCCAGGCCCAGGGTGGGCCCTACAGCGACCAGAAGCGCCAGTCCGCGAAACCCGGGGAAGTCCAGGGGCCGGTCCAAGCGCATCTCCAAGGAGCGCGGCGCCACAGCCTACGCCCGCCGCCTCCTACCAGCACCAAGAAGCACATGGGGATGCGGACCAAGAACTGCCTGGCGTTGGCAGCGTACAGCGCGGCGTGGCACGAGCAGATGCAGCGCGGCGCCAGCCTCCTCCAGGCAGATCCCCTGCTCCGGACCAGTGTGCACACTCGGATGTTGACGTCTAGGCGCACGCGCAGGCCCGCCCCCGACGGGACCCACCAATCGAAAGGCAGCCGCGGACGTGGGCCTCCCTGCCACCAATCGCTGCTGTGCCTCCAGCGAGCGCATGCAGCGCTCGGACGTGGACCCCACCTCTCCCCAACACTGGACATTAATAAGTGCGCAAAGTAGGGGCGGCCGGGCCACGACCCTCGCAAACTACGACTCCCGGGCGCCTCGCGGCGAACCGAGGCAGCCCCCAGGGACGCGCGGAGATCCCGTCACCTCGCCTCGAGGTTGACCCGACCCCTCCCGAGACGGCACCCCGCCTCTCCGGAGCGCAAGGACAGCAGGGCCCGACACGGTGCCTATGCAGCCCTGGGTTCAGCCTCTGGGGCTGCAAATGGCTTAAATTCAGGGAGTGGGGCGTGCTTCCCAGCCTAGCGCCCCATATATCCTGCAGGCCGGGACTTGCCAGGAGAGGCCCGAAGTCGGGAACAATCGAATCCCCGACCCAGTATCCTGCAGAGGTGGAGCCGTTAGTATTTACCCTGCGTTGTCAGAACGAAGTCCTGGGGCCTCGGAAGCAAGCATCCAGCACCCATCTGCTGCGCCGAACTCAATCAACGGCAGGGCCCAAGTGCCACGCCCCACAGTGGGCGTGGGTTTGTGGAAAAAGAACCCCCACCCGCACTCTCAGGATGAGTACCCCGGGCTGGGGCCATTGCCTGGTGGCACTGGAAAGGTGGCATTGAGCAAAGGGGTGGGGGCACAGTTGGCAGGATCTGATGGAAAACCATCACGTTAGTTTTATGGTGGCATCAGGAAATTGGAGGAAATAAGGACCCAGAAAGAGACTCTCTTCCCTGCTGTGGGCATCACTTGGGTCAGGGATCACACAAGGTTTAAGGGAAGCCAGACTCCAAGTGTGTGATTATGTCTTAAGAGCAAGTGAAGGGTGACTCATCTGTCCAGAGGCCCCCCCTGCAGGTAGCCACCACACCTGAGCCCAGGTCTGTGGGCTCAGGGGTACAGGGAGAAGGCTCCCCTACCCCCACCTCTCCCCAACACTGGACATTAATAAGGAGCTGGGTCTGTGGGGAAGTGAGGAGGGGGTCCAGTTTGGCCCACACAGAACTCCCCTGACCTCCGTCTACTCACAGGGACTGTGTAAGACCCAGGTGTAGCTGCAGGGCCACGGGGACAGGCATCCCCTGGAACACCGGAAGCAGCCTCCACCGTATTAGCTAAGGAGCTGTGGGCTGTATGTGGCCAGTTCCCTGAACACCAGACGCCCCCTACTGGAAGGCCACTCCTGGGCAGGGGAGCATGGGCTCAGGAAGGCCTCCAGTTCCAAATCCATATTCTCTGGGCAGCCAAACCTATTGCTTCAATTCATTAAGTCCACCTAACAGCTGCAGGGTACTGCTCCCTTGCTTAAAAAGCTCATCATTCTCAAAACTCAAGACTACTCCCAGCCGGGTGCAGTGGTGCACACCTGTGATCCCAGCGACTCAAAAGGCAGAGGCAGGAGGATCGCGAGTTCCAAGCCAGCCTTGGCAATGTAGCAAGACACTCAAAATTTTTAAAAAGGGGCTGGGGTATAGGTCAGTGTTACAGCACCCCTGGATTCAGTCCCCATACCAAACACAACACACACACACACACACACACACACACAAAATAACCATGAAGACCCTTTCTGACTGTTCCTTATTAAACAAAAACAAAAACAAAAAAACTCCAACCAGCTGGGCACAGTGGTGCACTGTGGAGGCTGAGGCAGGAGGATCACAACTTTGAGGCCAAGTTGGGCAACTCAGCAAAACCCTGTTTCACAAAATTTTTAAAAAGGGCTGGGGGTGTAGATCAGTACTGCAGCACCAGAAAAAAAAAAATTATTACCAAAAAAAAAAAAAAGTCCAATTATTTCACAGGGTCTTTGGTGTCTGTCCCCATCTCCTGACTCTCCCAGCAGCTGCACCAGGCTCTGTCTGCCAGGCCTTTGCACCTGCTGTGCTGTTGCCTGAAGCACTATTTCAGGCCATCTCTTCATCCTTAAGGGCTCAGTTTAAATGTGTCCTCAGAGAAGCCCTCCCTGACCACCAGGTTAAATTCAGTTCCCCATGTGACTCCATCCTATCACCACTGACTTAACAGTAACCAAACCCAGAAAGCCTATCTGGCAAATGCAACTGCCCCAGGGCCTGGGTCACGTCAGCACTGCCCTCCTCTGGCACAAGGAGTGTCCAGTGAACATGTGTGGCATGAATCAGGGATGGGGATGGGCACTAGAGCAACAGCCCACACACCTGGGGCCAGGACTCCTTCCCCGTCAAGTCTGCTCTTGCTCCAGCCAGGGCTAGCAATGACAGGACCGTGCTCGGGAGCGCTGTCACTGCTGCCTTACGTGAAGAAACACA